GCCCGCCCCCCTGCCCCCCCAGCCACTCGAAGATGAGGTCGTTCATGGTGTAGCCAACTGGAGAGGAGGGAGGGAGCCATGGGATGGGGGGGACACGCTCCCCGTTCATCCCCACTGTGACTGCTCCTTCCTGCTCACCTCCCTCAGAAGCAGGGAGATGCCAGCCTTTGGGATGGGACAGGATGGGGTGGGATGGGATGGGATGGGGTGGGATGGGATGGGGTGGGGTGGAATGGGGTAGGGTGGAATGGGGTGAGGTGGACCAAGCACAACTTGAACCCCCCTAGGTACTCACAGCTCTCCAGCTGCATGGTGCATGTCTGGATGTCCATGGGGAAGTTCTTGAGGTCCATGGGGCAGGAAAGGATCAGCGTCAGCCTAAAGGAGACAGAGGAAAGGAGGGGGTTGCTGGGGGCTGGGTTGCTCAGGGGGGGATAGCTGCCCCATGGGAGGCAAGAGGAAAGCTTCACCTCCCTACTTGGGCATTGCCCCAGAGGAGAAGGGTTCTACCTAATGCTGTAGAGCACGTTGCCATTCTTGAAGATGCGCAGCAGCTTGTTGTCAGTGGTGACCTCATGGAAATTGGCCCCTTTTTCATTGGCGAAGAACAAGTCTGGCTTCCAGATAGAGTCGAGCATGGAAGGGTCGAGGTCGAGGGAGTCATCGGGGTACTCACGGTAAGCCAAGCGGGGGTCGTTCCACTGCTGCCGCAGGAAGACATTCACCCGGTAGTCCTGGGGCAGAGGGGACCACGTCAGCTGGGAGCACTCCACCGGTGCTCGGGGAGGAGGAGGAAGAGGAAGAGATGGAGGAGGAAGGAGAGATGGAAGAGGAGGTGAAAGGGGGTCTCTCAGTCGAGGCTCAGCCCTTTAGGTGCTGACTGCCTGACACTAACGATGAATGGGGAAGGGGCAGGTCAGGAGCCTTCCCATGCTGTCGGCAGCCAGGGGAAATGAAAAAGCAGAAGCCACAGCAGCCGAGAGGAGGAGGAGGAGCAGTAGCTGCTGCCTGCAGTGTTCCTTGCAGGGCTCTGTGGCCCTGTGGGAAACTTTTAGTCCTGGGGCTTCCTCAAATGAATTCCTCACGCACCCGAGGAGGCTGGGGATGGTGGGGACACAGAGCTCACTTGTGTAGTACAGCACCTGCAGAGCCCACGAACAGCAGGGAGCCACCGCCAGCTGCCTCGCTCCGACCCTGCGGGGTGTTTCTCCCAGCTCAGGAACGGGGAACGTGGCCCACACAGCCAAGCTCTGGTTAACTGACCCCAGAAAAGCTATTTGCTATGGCTCTGCATGTCCCCACTGTGGTGCCAGGGCTGGCTTGTAAGCACAGCCATGGGCTCGGGCACTGGGACCCGCCTGCTCCCCGGCACAGCCACCGCCAACCCTGAGGCACTGGGAGAGGAGCCCGTTGCACTGGCGAAACCCTCACCATGGTGGTCTCAGTGACGGAGCCGAAGCTGTTGATGAAGATGTTGCACGTCACGTTGACGGGTGGACCTGGAAAACAGCGTGAAGCCTCCTCTCACCGCTGGCCGGGGAGACACGTGCACCGCAGAGGCACACGTGGGGACGCCGCCTCCTGCACGAGCTGCGCGGATGAATGTACACGAGCAGCCCCCCGCCCGCTGGGGTCACCCCCGTAACGCGCTGCGGGGAGCCCCAGCACACCCTGCAGGCACTGCAGCCGCCGCGCTGTCAGGTGAAACAGGCCCACGCGGGGCGGCTGCGGTCGCGGGAGCAGCCGGGACTCTGGGGAGGGTGTTGGGACAAGGGGACAGTGGGTCAGGGTCTTGCCCCCAAACCCATACCTGCCCGTTCTCTGGTTTTGGGCAGCCATAAGCATGGGTCGCTGCCAGGTTTGGGAGCCTCACGTCCTCTCCTTACCTTTGAAGTTGGGTCGAATCCGGGCGTCATACCCTGACGTTCGTCCCATAAGCTTGTCCAGGAAATCAGAGGGTGACATGGGCTTGGGCGAGCTGCGGGAAGCAGCTTTAATCTCCTCCCGCCCTGAGACCAGCCTGCCGGGTGGAGGAGCCAGGTTAGCCGCCTGCTGGCACCAGGGGTCCGCAGGCACATTTTGGCACCCCGCGGGGACTGCCGACTGCCGGTTGTGCCTCTGCCGCACCTGCTCCAGTGCTGAGTCAGCACACTGACCCCAGACCCCTTCCTCCCTCCGCGGTGACACCGGTGGCTTCCCCCCTCGCCTGCCACAGCCCGAGTGCTGCATGCCCGTGTTTTGCCTGTCCCCCCGCCAGCAGAGCCCTTGCCCGCCGTGTCCCCTGGTGTGGGATTCGGGGTCGGGTGTCTCCCGGCTCCAGGGATGCCGTGGGAACGGGGCGCAGCAGGCGATGGCATCATGCACGGCAGCCGGTGCCGGAGGGGGAAAGCCGGGGGGGTCCCTCCCGGGTGCAATCGCCAGCCCTGGCTTGAGTTGCTGAGCGAATATCCGTACCCTGCCTGGCATGGATTTGTGGCTTGGGGGGGGGATGGGGGACACAACACCCCTCCCTGGGCTGTGGGCTGGCCTGGCACGAGCAAAGAGGTCCCCTGGAGCACAGCTGGGGTTGTGACGCTTTGCCAGGGGCCAAGACGACCCGGCAGGAGAGGAGCAGCAATGCCCACCTCCACACCGGCCGTGGAACAGAGCTGACATGAGCTCTCCCACGCAGCGCGCCCAGCGATGATGGAGACTTATTTAAACTGACCTTGCAGGGGATATTTCTGTGAATGCATCTTAGCCTGCCAGTTTCTCTGCTTCCGTCAGTCTATAATGATCATTTCAAGGAACAATGCGAGCGACGTTTGCTCACCACATTGCCAGGCATGTGGCTGGGATGGAGAGGAATTAGCCAGAGACCTCTGGACACAAAAGGAGCTTTGAGCACACTGCTGGTGCTGCCACACGCCGCCTCATAACTCCACCAGGTCCATGCCCGGGTGGGTCTCACTCCTGCTTGGAACTACAACCCCGTTATCACAAGCAGAGGATGATGCTGGGAGCTGGGACGCCCTGGGGTCCCTGTTCCTACCTCCGTGTTCCTACCAACACACCTTGTTCCAACCTGCTCTCAGGGAAGCAGGATTAATCCTGGTGGGATTATGTACATCCTTGCCAGATAGAAATGGCCATAATGGCCACTGCAAAATGATTCAGCTGGGCAGGTTTTCCCTTAAGTGGAGACAGGCAGCAGAGAGTACCCGAGACTGGTCCTGGCCAAGAACAAAAGGCTGCGAGAAATTCCCCCTCCAGGAGCTGCGTTAGAGAGGTGCACCCTTGGGGGGAGGGCAGCGAGAGGGCAGGGTAACAAGGAGTTAATTCAGGCCTCTGCCTGCCACATAACCACGAGCCAAAATGTGTCCTCCGCTGGAGAGGAGGATGAGGCTGGAGAGGAGGATGAGGGTTCTGCCCTAAAGCATGAGGGAGGAAGGCTCGCTTGGCACCGTGGCAGCTAGTTCCTTGAAAAGGTCCAGCTAACTGGCCGAGCAGCGGTGGATCTGTAGCCCCAGTGATGCTCAGACTGTGGGGACTGCAGCGGGTGCAGAAACGCCCCGGGTGCAGCCACCTCCAGCAGCATAACTGGCAGGGCCATACTGGCACACAGCCCGCGGGCAAAGCCTCTGGGTCCTGGTTCTTCTCAAGGTTTGGCTCCAGCTCCCCGGTTTGGACACTGCCTGCCCCAAGGGACTCTGCCGCTAACCTGGCCCGGGCACTGCGGCGCCCCAGAGCTCAGCACCTCCATGGAGTGAGGGGATGGTGGGCCTGGAAAACGCTCACGTCCACCTAAAAATGCCACCCCGAGACAAGCAGTTTCCGCATGTGAAGTGATGACATTTTGACAGGATTTCCCCCCTCCCTGCCACAAATGCTGCGGTTCCCACAACTGCTCGGCTCCCCCCCCCCGCCCCCCCAGCCGTACTGGCCAAGTGGTGGGAGGGGGAGTGGGGGCAGACAGCGGGCTCAGCCCAGGGACACTGCAGCCCCCCCAAGCGCTCCCCACCTCTCCCCAGCATCCCACCTTGTCCCAGATAGCACCCAAGGTAGCCAGAGAGGGAAAAGGGGACCTGGGGG